TCAAGTGAAAGGCCACCTCATATGAGGAGTCTTAGAGATATCTATGAAGAAACCAAAGAGGTAACTCAAAGGTTTAGTGATCTAACACTCTTTTGCCTATTTGATGATTATGATCTCATAGTCTACGAGAAAGTGGCACAAGAAAAGAAGTGGAGAAGTGCCATGAATGAAGAAATTGAAGCTATTGAAAGGAATGGAACATGGGAACTTGCCACACTCCCTAGAGGATAAAGGCCATTGGAGTGAAATTGGTGTACAAGACAAAGACAAATGCCTAAGGTGAAGTGGAGAGGTACAATGCAAAATTGGTTACAAACGACTATAGTTAAAGAATGGGTATTGAATATGATGAGATATTTGCACCCGTTGCTCGTTTGGAAAAAATTAGATTGATTATGTCTTTAGCCACTCTAAATAATTAGAGAATTCACCAAATGGATGTGGATTCCACTTTTTTGAATGGCTTTCTTGATAAAGAGGTGTATGTTGAACAACCCTTGGATTATGTTGTGAAAGGGAAAGGAAAGAAAGTATTGAAATTAAAGAAGGCTTTATATGGCTTGGAGCAAGCACCGAGGGCTTGGAATAGTAGACTTGACAAATACTTTCAAGCAAATAATTTTACCAAGTGTCCCCATGAATATGCTCTTTATGCAAATGTAACTGATAATGGTGATATATTCTATGCTTGTTTTTATGTGGATGACTTGATCTGCTTAGGAAATTGTCCAAGAATATTTGAAGATTTTAAGAGAGCAATGGCTAAAGAATTTGAGATAGCCGACATTTGACTTATGTCATACTACCTTGGAATTGAAGTGAAGCAAATAAAGGAACCTATTTTCATCTCCCAAGAAGGTTATGCTACAGCAATTTTGGCAAAATTCAAGATTCAAGATTGTAAACCGGTATATACACCCGTTGAATGTAGTGTACAATTGTCAAAATATGAAGATGGAGAGCATGTGGATTCCACCCATTTCAAGAGCTTAAGGTACTTAAAATGCACAAGACCGGATATTCTTTTCGGTGTTGGTCTTGTAAGCCGCAACATTGAAGCTCCTATCATGCCCCATTTGAAGGCATCGAAAAGAATTATTAGATACATCAAAAGGTATACTTGATTATGGATTATTATATTCTTTTTCTAATAATTCCAAGCTTGCGGGCTGTTGTGATAGTGATGAGGCAGTACTTATGAATGATAGAAAAAGTACTATAGGGTATATTTTATTCATTGACATTTTCTTGGAGTTCAAAGAAACAACCCATTGTGACTCTTTTGAATTGTGAAGTCAAGTATGTTGCGGCTACATCATGTGTTTGTCAAGCCATTTGGCTTAGAAATTTTTTGAAGGAGCTTCATTTGCCTCAAGAAGAATTGATGGAATTTGATTTGCACTTTTTCGTGATCAGATTAATATTATACACCTAAGTATAAGTGGTCGAATTGTAGTTTTCTCGATTTTAAGTCCAAGTATCAATCTCACGAAGAGTGTGTGTAATTAGGAAATAAAATAAAAATAGTAAAGTTATTTATCTTAGATAGGACAGCATGTGATAGCTTGTGAGTTGAGTTTAGATTGATAACTAGTTTAATTATGTTGCAGATAGATTTAGACAATAATAAAAAGTATCCTTCAGTTCAAGGATCCCATATGCGTTATATTGGTTAAATACTAGAAATGCTACCTTACAACAATCAACTTCCATGTTACTGGCAAGTCAATCAGTAGGTCTAATGTATATAAATCATCACACAGCAACTTCTTAGGTTAACTGGTGGAATCCATGACAACTGATTAATCCAAGCAAACCAGAAGGACAAGTCATTTATGAGAAATATTTGAATTATGCATTTGTCTTCATAATAGTAAGTGCATACATAATAAACCATAACACAGCCATTTCTTAGGTTAACTGGTGGTATTAGTCATAAATTAGCAACTTCTTAGATTAGTTGGTGGTATTAGTCATAACACAGCAACTTCTTAGGTTAGCTGGTTATAGATATGTCAATTGACTAATCCAAGCAAACCAGAAGGACAAGTCATTCATGAGGAATACTTAAATTGTTTAGTTGAATCTATCTGTGATACATATACTAGTTAAACATCCTCGGCGTTTAAACCATGCCAATAGAAATGCCGTGCTTGTTAGACTAGCAATATTATCATTTATATCAGTTGAACGATCTGAGTAATCTAGAAGGATAAGTCATTCATGAGGATCACTTAGGTCATTAGTTTGACAGTTATATATATAGTAATTAAATAACCTTGATAATCCAAAAGGAAAAACCATTCATGAGAATCATTTAGGTTTTGTACCATGCATCAGTTAACATCCTCAGTGTTCCGGTGGAGGATAAACCATACCGATCGGAATGCCGTGGTTGTTTAACCGGCAGGTCGATGATGCACTGATAACATAATTCTAGGCACAGCATCAAAATTATGTACATCACTATATTATGCATGAAGCATACAATATATAGATATATAAAGATATAAAACATCAGCATCTCTAGAATTTAACCAGTATTATACATATGTTTACCTCTCATTGGAGGATATAAGTAACTACTCACGCCCCATTGCTACAAACAAGCAAGGAGTGTGGGTAGTTTTCATTACAACTGAAATTAAAATATAAACCCTAAAATGTCTTTCACAAGGAACAACTGAAACACAATCACCTTTATTATCAATTATGACAAAAAAGTGACGGCAGTTCAACTATCTGAATAGAAAGATATAACAAAAATGTAAAAGTACAGAGTTTGGACTGAAGTGTATGACGGACCGGATCGAGTTACAAGTTTTTCTTTCTCTTTTTCTTTTCTCTTTTCTCTTTCTTGGATTTCTCTTTGAACTCCCTTTTTGATCCGTCCTTCTGAAGAATGAGGAGGGCATGCATATTTATAGGCAAGGAAAGCAAGAAGTGGCAGATCAATCTTCAGCCGCCTTTGGACTACCGTCCAGAAGGTGACATCTTGCTGGATTTTCCCACTTGCATATATTTTGACTCTCCCTTTGTTGAAATTACACCTTAGCCTTTGTTGTTTCAAGCTTTTATACATTGTTCCTTGCATTCTATGGTAATTCAGTATCAAACCTTGAAAATTTTAAACATAACACACATAAAACCCTAATTACTGCACAAACCCTAATTGACTCTAATTAATAGTTTTTTGTTATTTTATTACACTAATTTGACTTTGTTAACTATTCTAATTTATATATTAATTAAGGTTCATCAGAATTCTTCATTGACAACAAATCTGCACTAGTGTTGGCAAAGAATTCGGTGTTTCATGATCATAGTAAGCATATTGACACAAGATCCCATTTCATAAGAGAGTATGTGACCAAGAAAGAGGTGGAGCTCAAGTTTGTAAAGTCACAAGACCAAATTGCCGATATTTTCTCTAAGCCCCTCAAAGAGGATGTTTTTTGCAAATTAAGAAGTTTGCTTGGAGTTGAGAAGAAAAATCATGTTTAAGGGGGGGAAGATGTTGAAAAATAGTAATAAGCGTGAATTTTCATGTTCTAAGAGTTATTTTTATGCAATTAGTTTTGTACTAGTGGGTTATCAATTTGCTATTAGTGGGGAAAAAATAACTGTGGTATTTTAATTCTCCAAGTAATGGAGGGGTGGAGTCTTTATTAATTTTATTATGGCATTATATAGGGAGTTATATTGTATAAGTCTATATATATCTCATGTAATACATCAATTTGGATATGTGCGAATAGAAAGAGTTTTTCCTATCTTCAATTGTCTTTTCCTTACATTTTTTGTGAGTCTGCGATAGTCCTCTAGATTCCAATAGTTGTCTATGTGCAATGCAGTAAATAAATAAAAAAATAAAAAAATTAATGAAAATAAAAACTGCATAGCCTTACATAATTCAATAAAAATGTGTTATTTTTCATCATTATATCATAATTGTAACTGGTGTATGGGATGCAATAAAGATAGGAGATGATACGTTTTGTTATTTAATTATGAGGTTATGTTCTCATTGAGTCAAGCGCTTGGAAATACTATGTAGCCAAGGTTTTGTCTGAAAAATTATAAATGCACTAGATACATTGAAATATATACAAATATATGCATATCATAACACAAGAGAGGCTAAGCCACTACACCTCATAACAGTTATTTGGTTCTAATAAACAAAAAATAGATCACTTTGATTAGAATGTGAATTAAATTTGAACCTAATAAATATGAGTCATCCATTGTCTTCAACATAATACAATTTAGGCATTATTGTATTTATTGGAGATCAAATTGTCATTGCCAATCTTACAAAAAGCTTTATTAAGATGGTATTTGGTTTAATAAGAATGCAAGTAATAAAAATATTCTAAGATTGTCTGTTGTACCAAGTCATGGTCAACATTTTGTTTGACTAGGGAAATGATGATGTCAAGGATGACGAGGATCATGAACAAATGATGGTAAGACTGAGATGATGATGTTTTATGGTGAGGGGTGTAGAAGTAACCCAATGAATTAGTTTTAGATGTCAAGTTTGAATTTTGGTAATTTTTTATGCATAGACTATGAGTGATTTATCCCTCAGAAATACCTTAGTCCTGGTGTGGATGACTTGCGTTCGATCAGACTGGGAAAAGATTAGTTGAAGTGTACGTAAATAGGTTCAAACACCCGTATTGTTGAACCAAAAAAAGAAGGGTGTAATAGTCATCGAGTTGACCCTTTTATTCTCTTATTGATAATTATTGACTTTGATCATACCTTGATTGAAATTTGAATAGAACTTACAGCAGATGAGCTTGATTAACATAACATAGCCAATCGAATGTTCTAATGAAATTTGTTGTGATATAGGAACTTTAGTTTTAAAAATTTTTCAAGTCAATTCTATTAAGTACGGTTTAAATTAAGACTTAGAAAAAGATATTTGTATTCATGGGTTGACCTAAAATCGTTCAATCTTTCTATATTTCTTGGAATCTTGTGTTAAGTTACGGGACGGGAAGCCTCTCACGGAGAAATGGTGGAAGTTTCAACTAAGTGTCTTCCATACTCTACCAGTGGATGCCTCAGCTTTACTCACTTTGTTTAAACCTGAGGATCTAGCCGTCATTGGTTCTTTGTGGCTCTCAGATCAGGAAATCATTCTTGATTTCAGTTATGATAACCCCGTTGAGCCGATTAAGGAAGGAACAGACTGCTATGGTTGGTTTATTCAAGCTTGACTACCACTGACGCAAACACTATGGTGGGACACTATGATAACCTGACCTGAGACTGGACTGAACAATCCATCAGCTCATGGACCTTGCCCCATACGTGGACAATAGTCAGTGTAGCAAGTAGGCTTATGGGTCACAGTTTCGACTCGTCTCGGCCATCATCCTAACATAGTTAAGGCCCCCCAAGGCGGCATGTCGGTAGACCATGGTACGCCAAAATTCAGATAAAAATAAATTTTTGTAATTTTGATGGAATAATGAAATGAAAAATTCTTATTATGATCTACTTAAAAGTTTGTTAAGTGTGATAACTACCTTTATTTCAAAAAAATAAATACGTTTGGTCTTGAAGTCCTAAAAAAATATTCAATTTCGATGATGAGTTTACACGAATTGATATCCAAACCTCAAATAAACCTTGAAGGTGTGAATAGGTCTTTTGTGGAAATAATTGAAAATTCAAACTTTAATGAACCAATTCATCCACAAATCATAAATTATATGCAAAACAATCAAATAAGATTGTTCAATCCATCTATAATCAATATATGTGAATGAGGAATGCTATTAAGAAATAATTTGGGGACCTAATGATTGCACTCATTAGAAATTTAGCAAGTCTCAGCACTGAATGCACTCAATTATCAATCCAATTGTCACAATGTATTAAGCCTCCAAATTGTATCCCAATATTGTGTCCCAATAGCATTACTATTTGGGAATATATCAACCGATTGTGTTTGAAAATCCAATAACAAGCAATGAAACAAACAAAAACACAATTTTTATCGTAGAAATCCTCAGATGAAAAACCATGGGATCCGGCCTAACCTCCACTATTGAAATCAGTAGTATAAGCCCATATACTTACAAACCCTTGTAACATATCCTTTTGTCTTGTATTTCTCCCGACAAAAGTTAGATCACGCTCCCCCTGGAATGTTTTGACTCGTCCTCCTTTGGATCTTGATCTTCTTTCTTAGATTTTCATGATATCCTTTGGATTTGGTTGAGTTGGAGCTTGAAAAACCTAGTATCTCTACAATATTTGGCTTTGAACACTAAATCTCTAGTCAAATTCTCAAGATCACCTTTGTTGATTTGAATATCAAGAAGAAACAAGTTGTCTACTAGGTTTGATCTCTTATGTTTTGCTTTAAAAGCTCCTAGGGGGTCTATTCAAAGCACTTATTCTCTCTTTTTTCTGTTAGAAAATGACTTGAGAGTTTTGTATTTAATGGAAAAGAAAAATAGAAACCGAGCATGGGAAAGTATCCAAATTGATCGAATTTTGAGCACCACACGACCACGAGTGACAACAGTTAATCAGTTCTTGTTCAGGCTATCTCACTTAAGCAAGAATCCTATGTTAAGTGGGTGCAAGGTGTGACACCCCAAAATCTGAGGGTCCTTTTGTCAACCGTTGACCACCCGCCAACCCGCGAAAATACTCGTGATTGTTACATAACCCGACATCACGTCTATCACTTCCCCTTAACAAGGATTATAACCCACACAACTGTGGTTCTTTACACATTAATTTATAGCCATTTTATCTCATAGGACACCCTTGAACAAGAGGAAAGATTGCCCAAGAGCTGAGGGAAAGAATTCAAAATTTTGAATTTTTGTGAGAACCTTTCGGTAGGTTTTCATAAACCTTCCGGAAGGTTTCCTCGACCTTCCGGAAGATAGAGCATACTGGAACCCTATCTTTAGGAAAAATGTGAAGACCTTTCGGAAGGTTTTCTTTGACGTTCTGAAAGGTTTTGCCTACTAGATAGAAATTTACATGAACTTTTCGGAAGGTTTTCATCGATCTTTCGGAAGGTTTTGCTTATTGGGCTAAAATTTCCATTAACCTTCCGGAATGTTTTACCTGTTTTTCTATAAATCCTTCCTTCTTCATTTCCAACCCATTCCAAACCACCATAATTCCATCTAAAACATGTTTAACAATGTTTTCCACAAAAAAACCTAATATACACAAGTCCTATTACAACAAATCCATACGATTACACTTCAGAATGGAATTTTAACAAAAGTTTTACAAAACTTGATTTCAAAACCCACAACCGGCTCTTCTTCACCCTCGAGACCTCGAATGAGTGTCATTCAATGGAATGTACCCCGCACCTGAAATGTGTTCCCGTTTAGGGTGAGCCACGCCAAGTAGAGTATTTTCTATAGAGGCTACTCCTCAACTTAAGTGCATATGCAATGTTCACATGCAACATTTTCCAACAACAATCATTCCAACCAAGATTTCAGCAAATCAAAGTTGCAATCTAACATGCCATGTCATAAAATAAAATGATACTCATTCATGCAATTTACCTGAGCCCTTCCCGGCTCCACAACACAGGCAATGCTAATGTGTATAAAACTGAGCTTTTCTAGCTCCGGCTATTTACCTTCATCCCATGCTATGCAATGACTATCAAAACTGGGCTTTCCAAGCCCCGCCATTTGTGTTACACACCTAATGACTATTTAAAATCTTTAGTTCTTTCTTGGGATGGGTATTCATGGACTTACACCAACGGTCACCCAACCGACACGGAATTTATGGTCTTCCACCAATGGTTCCGCGTACACTGATACACTTTATGAGCTCTAATACCAACGAAAGTGCGTATCCGAATTACCGGGTCTCTCACCCGAGGGATAGTCTAGCCCTTCTTGCTAACCTGACCCAATTCTTTTTTATGCAGCCGTGCGACTCAGCCGAATATTCAATCCAACTTTTCCACGCTCACCCATCATCCACCTATTTGGTGTTTGATATCAACCATGCACACACACCCCCACACACATGGCTATGGATGCGATTTCTCCGTGCAAATGCAATGTAATGCTCTATTACTATTTCAATATCATGCCCATATGTAAAGAATGTCATATGAGCAACTTTAAACACATATGTACTTATCCAATGGTAATTTACGTCTCATGCATACAATCACCAACTTTATCACAATGTTAATACATCAATAAGCATTTATCAACATTTTGTTTTCCAACAACAATCACTAGCATGTTATTACATAATATATGCCAATAACACACTTCAATCCCCATTGCATAATTTAAACACATAACATGCCCACAATCACATTTCCATGGAATTACACAAGTAGTTACCATATATCAATTCCAAGCTAGGAAGTTATTTTAACCCATGTCTATATCCATTTTCATACTCGTTTCATCAATTTCACAACATAGGCAAGTGATACATATTTCTATCAAACTATCCATTACATATAAACAACCTAGGTTGTACAGAAACCTAAGTAGGAAGGAACCCTACCTCTTGAAGCATAAGGAACGACTGTAGAAAGTCTCAAGAACCCACTTCTAGCTAGAATCTTCTCCTCCCAAAAATTATGTCCTTAGAATCTCTCCCAAAACTGACCTCCTTGGTATGGTTTTGTAGCCCACGTCAAGGAGAACAACTTTCCTTCTTGGTCTGAGTGGATCCGAGCACTCGATCTCCGTAGATTGTGGAGAGAAGGTGGAGAACTCAAGCCTTTTCCCTCTCTTCTTTCTCACGTTGGAACTGGCTGAAGAAATGGGGAGAAAATCAGATTTTCTTCACTATTTATAGTCTTAGAATACTTGGCCCACAACGCGCCACACGACCCACTTTTTTTTTTTTTTCTGGGTCTGTTTTCACCCCGAAATGATTAAATTTTGTCTCGGTTCAAGTTCAAAATAATTTTATTTTAATTTACCTTAAATTATTTTCCAAATTTTGACCTTTTATTAAAAATCCTATTTTTGGGTGACCCGAGACTCGACCGTCTCATAAAGCGCAAAAAATCCAACTAACTCAGAATTCGATGAAATTTGACGTGATAACTAGATTTCGTGAGACGAATCCAACGGTGAGGTCTATTTTGTCATTCGAGTTCTAAAAAATTTCAAGTTTACAACCCGTACTATAGTGGCAGAATTACCATTTTGCCCTTTTTCATAAAAAATTTAAATTTACTCGGGTTTTATACAAGGTACTACAACCCATCTTATATTGGTCCAAATGACCTCAAAGAAATACCCTTAGGTTTTGCTTGAATGTGGTTTATACTTGGGGCTTATTTTGACTCTAAAAATCAAGTTCTTAATATTGAAAAGTAAGGTTGAGTGTATATCATATAAATCAAGTCTTGAAAAAAAAAATTCAAATATATCCAAGATTCACTAAGGTATCTAAGTCTACCAATCAATGCTAACCAGAATGTGAATGCCATGAGTTTAACTGATATTTTCATGAACCTTCAATCCATTCTTCAAGTATGCTTCTTTCAATCTTCAATGATAGAACCACAATACGTCATCCAGCCTCAACTAACTTGATCCATGACTCAAAAAAATATGGCAATTACAAATAATATATTTACAATCTCTCCCTTTGACATTTCTATGAAATAACATATGTATTACCATCAAGTTCTAATATACTTCACTAAGCTTTAGACATAAACATGAATTGCACTGAAAATTTAATTTCATACAATATTTTGAGTAGTATTCTAACTTCAAGGGTGTGTTTGGTTTAGGCATTAGGAAGGACCGGTTGGACAAACTTGTGATGCCCCTAAAACCGGGGTTTCTTGATTAACCCATTCATCATTCACCAACCCGCGGAAGTACTTGTGCATGCTCCATAATTTGACACCACGTCATCATGTGACCATTCTAAGGTTCAATGTAAATCAATTCGCCATTAGTGTTACTCCACATTCATCCTTTAGGCACGAAGGCTCAAGGCCTAGAGGCTTGGCAATGTTATTTTAAATTTTTAAAAAATTTGGAAGAGCTATCGGTACCTCGTGTACTTGGTACCAGTACCTGAGCATTTTGCTTGCCAAGTATCGGTACCAGTAACGTGTTACCAAAACCTAGGCCCTCAACAACAAGGTATCGACACTTGGGCTCTAGACGGCGAGGTATCGGTACCTTAAGCCTTCATACCGGTAACTGAGCCCATTGGAATCATG